GGGGTGTTGTTTTGTTTTGTTTAATGTAGTTGTTTTTGGTCCCCATCAACACAATATTTATATCATTCAGGAGCCGGCCCTCTGCCAGTGTTTTGTAAGTAAGTTTATTCAGTGTTTATTAAGACCACTGACCCACATCACATCACATAAAACACTCATTTGTTAACTAGTTTTCATCACGAAAGAGTACATGTTGTGCACATCTCTTATAATGGGTCAAACATTGCATATTTCTGTCACTGGGCCAAGTCAGGCTGGGAGGAATTAACAATTCCCTGTGATGGACAAAATATGGACAAAAGAGAATAGAGTGAAATCCATCTTCAATTTCATGAGAGTGGGTGGTTGGCGGGTGGTCTGGTGTGGTTTGCTTCTTTTTTTCCTATCAAACATCTATCGTCCGTATCTCCTCTCCTTCTTTTTTATGTTTGTTACTCTCTTGTAACACCTCTAATCTTCTGGCGCTCATATGACCTTATGCAGTTGCGGATACCGTAAAACCTCTACGAAAACCAAAATTTCATGACATTTGCACCTCTCACATAAGGGTGAATTTATTCGTTTCCGCCTATACAGATGGTTATTTAATGGAAGTCTGCCAGGGTTAATCCGGGATACGATGGATGCAGCCTCCCAGCAGAAAGACCGAGATACAGGATAAACATTATCTCTTCTCGTGAATCGAACTTGGGTCTCCTGCGTGTGACAGCAAAGCGCCTATAATCGCTATATCACAGACGCTGATAAAAAATGCTTTAAAAATTCCCAATGTACAACATCTCAATGATTACCAAACAGAAAGTTCTGAAATGCTATGTATGGTCAACCCTTCTATATGGCTGTGAATGCTGGGCAAGCACTAAAGACAGTGAAAATAATAGAAGCAACAGAAATGTGGTTTCTTAGGAGACTGCTGGGATTATCATGAAAGGAAAAGAAATCAAATGAGGTAGTGCTTGATGAAGCCCACGTTGGACGCTCACAGTTAAAAACAATCAGGAAATGACAAATGCAGTTTTTGGGACACCTGAATAGACATACATGTCTTGAACATCTAGCTCTCACAGGCAGAATCTAAGGCAAACGAGGCAGAGGTGGGCAAAGAGCAACCTCTTGGGGGAACCTAAACAATTGGGTAACGGATAAAGATCAGGGAAACGTAGCTTTTTTAATTGCATCCGAGCAGAGTAATGAACGGAAAACCATGATCGCCGATGTCTGTTGCAAATATGGCACTGGATGAGTTAGTGATAACAGCGCCCCGTTGCAGGTTCGAACCAGGGTTATCCACGCCATAGTCCTTTGCGTTTCCAACTGACCTACCTACTCGTTCTACCCTTTAGTAGGGTGAGGTTTTGGGTTTGAGTTTGCCTCTTTTAGATTTAAAACGTGGGTTGTTGGCGGGTGCTCTGGTGTGGTTTGCTCCTTCTTTCCTATCAAACATCTGTCGTCCTGATCTCTCCTCATTCTTTTTTTTGTGTTTGTTACTCTCTTGTAACACCTCTAATCGTCGGCAATTATATGACCTTATTTTGTTGCAAGTGCCGTAAAACTCTTATTACCACAACATTACTAAAAAGATTAAAAACAAAGATAATACGTGTTTGACACTGTGGGGAAATCAGTCAGTCGTCAAAATAACGAAATCAAAGAGACCGACATTGTTCACCAGTTGGATTAGCTCTAACCAAGTATAGTTAGTTGTGATCTGAGGTGTTCGATAAACCTGCCCATTTTGACACCCAAATTACTTTTGTACGTTGTTATGTTGATTGTTATACTCTCATTGTTGGATATAATCCATTTATTTCATAAAATTATTATTATGTATATCTGATTGTAACGACCGACACATCTTTTATTTATAAAAATATACTCTGCACTTTTACAAGCAACTTGTACTTGTACATATAAGCATCTAACCAAAGTGTAGTTGTGATCCCAGGTATTAGAACAACCTGTCTATTTGAGTCATCCAAAATTACTTTAGTATGTTGTTATGTTGGTTGTTACACTGCCAATATTGAACATAATCCGTTTATTTTATTTGTGTATATCTTATTGTAACAACCGACACATCATTTGTTTTCCCTAATTTTCTTACTAATTATACCCCCAAAACAAGACGATCCCCATTTCCTTCAATAGCAAATAATCTATTTTATCCCTTCAATTCAAGATAGATGTGTATTTCTTTTGTAATTCAAAATCAAGACAAATTAACAAACTGTTTAAGATCACCAGTAACTCCACATGCCCAAAAATTGACGAGCGCCACATTTCACCGTATTTGAAACGATGAAATATCTTCCTTTTGTAGGAATGGAACTTGCGTCTTTAGCGTGCATGAGAAAGAGCCAAGCTATAATACCAAAGTCACCTGCATCTATTGCTAGTTCAGTAAGGTACTTTTGATGACATTGACCTTACTGGAAAGATCTTTCTTTCTTTCGTTCTTTCTTTCTTTCTGTTTTTCTTTCTTTTTCTTTCTTTTGTGTTTGTTTGTTTGTTTGTTTGTGTGTGTGTGTGTTTGTTTCTTTTTTTCTGTTTGTTTCTTTATCCCTTTCTCTATTTCTTTTTCTCTTTCTTTTTCTCTTTCTTTCTTTCTCTCTTCTTTCTAACCTATCGACACGTTCTGTCCTTTTCTACATTAAAAAAAAAAAGAAAAGAAAAAACTGAAAAATAAGAAACGCCTAACTGCATAGTGCGCAGAGTGAATAGCTCACACGCACAGTTTGATAGTCCTTTCCTCGCACATAGCTGTTCCGGCTCCCACTTCGTCTAAACAGCTGTGCTCAATTTAATTAGTGACACAGTGGTATACTCGTAGTTACGATATATTGTCAAGTGGGTGATAATACCACCTTTTTATTTGATTTCCATCTGGGATCTGTTGGTTTTCCGCTGATATTGTTGTTGTGGTTGTAGTTGTGGTTGCTGTTGTTGTTGTTGTGGTGGTGTGCAGTTATGGTTGTGGTTGTGGTTCTGGTTGTGGTTGTTGTTGGGGTAGTTAAGACAAACAAATAACGTGGGTGGTTGCGGGTGCTTTGGTGTGGTTTGCTCCTTCTTTTTCATCAATCATCATCGTCCTTGTCTCCCCTTCTTCTTTATTTGCATTTCTCACTCTCTTGTAACACCTCTAATTCTTTGACATTTGTATGACTTTATTGTGTTACACGTGACGTGAAACGCGTACTAAAACAATTTTAAAACAAACAAACAAACAAACAAAACCCCCAAAACAACCACGTCTCGCAATTCATGACTACCTATCACCTGACCTCAGATGTACGAACCAAGATTATGCGTTTCTTTTATTTTCTTAAAGAGTATACATGTAGTTCTGTTATAGGGGTTCTGGTTTTGGCACCTTTAAAGTAACACAATTATTATGTTCTCTCTTTCCTTTTTCTTGCAGTCTGAAGACTCCGACGGTGGTCGCAGCTACAAGAGCAAAAGCGTCAGGTTAGCTTTATAGGAGATAATTGTAATGAAAATACAGTCGACATTTAGTCTTTTTAGTTTTTAGTAAGATATTTACGACACTTGCAACACAGTAAGGTCATGTAAGTGCCGAAGATTAGAGGACCAAACACAAATATAAAGAGAGATAAAGACGATAAATGTTTGATTGAAAAGAAGAAGCAAACCCCACCAGAGCACCCACCAACCACCCACGAAATTGTCTTGGACAGCCACCTTATATTGAAGGGGAAATGGCTGTCCTAGATAGGTGAACGTCTTAGACCATGTCATTATATTATTGTAAAAATAACTTTTTAAAAAAAACGCAAGTGGGGAAAAGGGAAGTTGCTGTTTGTACAGACAATTGGCTTATGCAAATGGCTGTTAAAACAGGCTCAACTGTAATTACAAACATTTTACACCAAATTGGTCGCTTTTAAGGACAAGCGGGATAACCAGGATTTCGAGGGTTTCCAGAAATCTTGATCTTTACCAAAAGTGGGCATTGCCCTTCCTATAGGAGAAGTTTGGTTTCATTGGTGTGTATGTGTGTTTAGTTATAGAAAAAAGACTCTCCTTGCCTTTCAAAGAAACCGAACAAGGGTTCAACAACTTTACCTTCGATTTTCTCCAAACAGCAAATTCGGTATAGCCCCTTTGTGCTTAAAAGCGACCAATTGATACGACATATAATTATTGTTTAGGAAACGGGCTTCGCGGCCCTACCTCTCAAGATGAACCCAGTATTTCCCTGGCACACTCCTACTTAACTCTTAATTAAAACGCGTAAGCCTATTCCATGATTTGTCGTGACAAGTTGGTTTTGAAAATACAGTGGAACCTGTTCTGGTGGCCACCTGTATAAGACACCCCTCTGTACATGTACAACCGTCCACCTCCCATTTCACCCCTTTTGTATTTTTTAAACATTATAATAATAATCTGTAAAACAGCCACCTGTCTAAAAGGACCCCTTTTTTCCCCTCGGCAATTAATAACAATTTCAGACAGTTCCGACTATGATGTATATCTGAGAATTTTCCGAATAAAAACACACCAACATTTCCGGAAAAGAAGGAAAATCTGGGATTTGAGGACACAGGTATAGTACACACAAGAAACAATAATGCAGCTTCTAATGAGTAGAAATACCGATTTCCAAGAGTAAACGACGGCAAAACGTGTTCACCTGATGTATTCCTCCTTGAGTAAGAGTATTGTATTTCGCCGCCATTGCAAGCAATCCACATATGTTAAGTCCAAATTTTGAGAATTATCTCGATTTTTATACCCTCCAAAACCTCTATCAAAGATGCAGCTTTCAGTATCACCAAACTGCAGCTTAATGGTATGGTCAAGGTTTTCAATTTTCTTTCATTTTTCATGATTCCTGATAGGAACATCACAACAAAAATTGGGGGCTTTTTGGTCTCTGGTGTAAACCGTACCCACAGTGTATTTTTTGAGACACTGGCGATTTGTAGTTTCCAAGGATACTTCAGTTTTGGAAGACACCAAACTTTGGGGGCCATTTTGTCGCCAGTTTTTCACCCGACTCGAGGCGACACCCGTTTCCTTCAACCACAGTTAATATCTCAACTTCTATTCACGATAAATTGGTATTTTTCTATTTTTAAAATAACAGATAAACAGGCTTTTAGTTTTTGTAAAGTGTTGCGGCACTCGCAACTGCATAAGGTCATATGTGCGCCAAGGGGTGGATGTCAACGGAGAAGTCCAAGCAGGGAATCAGGCTAACCCTGTTCACCTCTCTAGCCTTAACAGCACACAGTCTGCTTCAACTATCAAGGCACCCCGGAAATAGCAGTTCACAGGAGAGTTACAAACATACGAAAGAAGTAGAAGAAAAATTATGATAGTAAGGATGAGGAAAGAAAAGCAGCAGTTTACCTATGTTGTTCCTGCATAGTAGGATCATGACATTGATAAATCAGCCTATTTGCAATTCTACTGTGCATATGAACATGTTAATATCCACCCTATGGTAATGGCCTAAACACACTTCAGTTAGTAGCATTGCCCTGTATGTGTGTGAGGGGGGGGGGGGGA